AGGCACTGTTCCTTCCTGGGTACCTGGGCATGGTAACTGGTGGCGATAATGAAAAACACGCAGCGTATGTTAATGACTTCACTATCCCTATGTTCAACTGCACAGTGAAGATTGATACGTTGAGCTAAACCTGTGTAGTTGTCTGTGAAGACACGTTAGTTAGTACCGGTGGTGGGGGGTAATGTTATTTAAACGGGTGGACGGGCCCTTCCCCAGCAGCCACCTCCACAGAGAGTTTTACGGAATAAGAACTACGCCGTCAGCAGCAATGTCTATCTAAAACATTTTTATGATAATGGCACGAGGCCGCAGGAGACGATATTGAAATTCTTTTGTTCCCGGTATAATAATTACATGAACGTGAGATGTATTTTTATACAATACTTCATATATTTTACGGAAGAGGTTATACTATATATATATATATATATATATATATATATATATATATATATATATATATATATATATATATATATATATATATATATATAATATATATATATATATATATATATATATAATATATAATATATATATATATATATATATATATATATATATATATATATATATATATATATATATATATATATATATAACCAACCTGTCAGACAGCTGGGCATGTTGAATTTGGTTTTTAAAAAATGTTTTGGAATCTAGCTTGGTGAATAATTGAATTCTGGATATATTTCAGTGTCTCTGTTTAAGACCACAACTATTATTTAGTGTTGCCAAAAGCTACATGCGTTTCCTTATAGTTATCTTACTGTATAACGTAAGAATAGCGAATACTGCAATTACTGCTACCTGGACCATCGTATTTTTCTCTACGGTAACTACAGTAGACTCCCCTGTTAATTTAATTAATATTTAGCATCACAAGGAACACCACCAGAGGGACTGTTATTCTATATGTAATTTGCGAGTAATACCCGTGGAGCCGTTTTACAGGTTCACTAACATACGAGGCATTTCAATTAAAGCGAATAAAAACCGAAGCTCCTCGTTGAATTAATATCATAATAAGGCTGTCGGTCACCAGGAGGGGGTTGTTGGTAGTGTTATGGGGGTTGGCTGGTAGGTTATGGGGTTGTTGGTAGTGGGGGTTGTTGGTAGTGGGGTTATGGGGGTTGTTGGGAAGGGGTTATGGGGGGGTTGTTGGTAGTGGGTTATGGGGTTGTTGGTAGGGGTTATGGGGGTTATGTTGGGGTGGTGGGGGTTGTTGGTAGTGGGGTTATGGGGGTTGTTGGTAAAGGGGGGGGTGAGGTGGGGTTATGGGGGTTGTTGGTAGTGGGGTTATGGGGGTTGTTGGTAGTGGGGTTATGGGGGTTGTTGAAGGGTTATAGAGTTGTTGGTAGTGGGGTTATGGGGGTTGTTGGGAAGTTATGGGGGTTGTTGGTAGTGGGGTTATGGGGGTTGTTGGTAGTGGGTTATGGGGGTTGTTGGTAGTGGGGTTATGGGGTTGTTGGGGGTTATGGGGGTTGTTGGTAGTGGGGTTATGGGGGTTGTTGGTAGTGGGGTTATGGGGGTTGTTGGTAGTGGGGTTATGGGGGGTTGTTGGGAAGGGTTATGGGGGTTGTTGGTAGTGGGTTATGGGGGTTGTTGGTAGTGGGGTTGATGGGGGTTGTTGGTAGTGGGTTATGGGGGTTGTTGGTAGGTTATGGGGTTGTTGGAAGGGGTTATGGGGGTTGTTGGGAAGTTAAATGGGGTTGTTGGGGATGTGGGGTTATGGGGGTTGTTGGTAGTGGGTTATGGGGTTGTTGGTAGTGGGGTTATGGGGGTTGTTGGTAGTGGGTTATGGGGTTGTTGGGAAGGGGGTTATGGGGGTTGTTGGTATGGGGTTATGGGGGGTTGTGGGAAGGGGTTATGGGGGTTGTGGTAGGGGGTTATGGGGGTTGTTGGTAGGGTTATGGGGGTTGTGATAGTTATGGGGGAAGGGGATGGGTTGTAGGGGGTTGTTGGAAGGGGTTATGGGGGTTGTTGGTAGTGGGGTTATGGGGTTGTTGGTAGTGGGGTTGTTGGTAGTGGGTTATGGGGGTTGTTGGGAAGGTTATGGGGGTTGTTGGTAGGGTTATGGGGTGTGGTAGTGGGGTTATGGGGGTTGTTGGTAGCGGGGTTATGGGGGTTGTTGTAGTGGGGTTGTTGGTAGTGGGGTTATGGGGGTTGTTGGTAGTGGGGTTATGGGGTTGTTGGTAGTGGGTTATGGGAGGTTGTTGGTAGTGGGGTTGTTGGTAGTGGGGTTATGGGGGGTTGTTGGTAGTGGGGTTATGGGGGTTGTTGGTAGTGGGGTTATGGGGGGTTGTTAGCCTCTACGGTGTGGGCGGAGAGTGGGTCATGTCCGTTGGTTTGTCTGTTTATCTCGTATCATTTGATTGGGATTGGTATAGGAGAGCACACACACACACACACACACACACACACACACACACACAAAAGGCGAAACATTTTTAGGGGTAAAAGAGGAAATATTCTTTGAACGGTCTTTCCCCACCCCTTGATGACGCCTCCACGTGTTCGAAGATGCAGAAAGTGTTTTTCAATATTTACCGACAGGAAATTGGCGGGTGCTGTTGGGTGGGTGGCGGGTAGGGATGGGAGGGCGAGGTAGGGGTGGGTGGTGGTAGGGGAGCGGTGTTGGGGGGCGGCGAGGTAGGGAGGGTAGGAGTCAGTGGAAAGGAAATAGTTGTTGCAGTAAGGTGGGAGAGGATGTGGGAAAAGGGAAAGAGAGAGGGGAGAGGGGAAGCTGCTGCAGAATGGTAGGCAGGGGATGGGTGGGTAGTGATGTTTGCTGGGGATGTTGCTTTGGATGAATCTTGTCTGTTTTGGGGGATGAGTTGATGTTTGTTAGGATGTTGTGTAATGATTGTAATATTTCCTTAGATGTTTAGTCAATGGCTCTGATGTTTATGCTGGAATGAACTCGACGTTTGAGTAAGGGTGTAGACGATGTTTATTGCAGATGTTGCCGGACGAATTTCACAAACACTGATTTTTTTTTTTTGAGAAATAAGAAGGGTTTTTATTCCAGATATATTGTAAAGAGATAACTGCAAGAAATAAGCTATTGGAGATCTCTCAAGAATTACGATACTGTGTGTGTGTGTGTGTGTGTGTGTGTGTGTGTGTTTTCGTTGTCTTTCACCTGGGTTTTGTTGTGTGTAGTGAGATTATGTGTGATCGGTTTTGTTTTGTTTTGGAATTTTTGCTCAAATAATACCTTGGCTTACTAGTAATGCCTCATTCCTCTCACACACTCTCTCTGTCTGTCTTTCCACATACACCACTTATATTAGCATGTCGGTTAACCATATACTGAGAAATGAGTAACCAGAGTGACCAAACATGTTAGCGTGAGTGACAGACCAGGGCAGGTAGGAGTGGTACCTGGTCGTATAATCACCAATACTGCCTTCATACGTCACTTCACTTCACCCCCAACCCCCACCCCGTAAGACCTTCATTCATGTAAAATAATAGCAGCTTAATTAAATGTTTTTGAAAAGGTTTGAAATATATTTATTATGCGCCGAAAAAATGCTGAGTTTATTTTTGTGGTATTTTTTTTTTATGTATTTTGTATGCAGTTTGTTCATCATTATGTTGGTTAGCTTTTTGACGCGAGGTGTGTGTGTGTGTGTGTGGGTGTGTGTGTGTGGTGTGTGTGTGTGTGTGTGTGTGTGTGTGTGTGTGTGTGTGTGTTTGTTGTATTGTGTCAGTTAGCAGTAGTTGTTGTAGTCCTTAGTCGTAGATGACGGTTGTTTAGATGGTAGAGTAGAGGGTAGAGTAGAGGGTAGAGTAGAGGGTAGAGTAGAGGGGTAGAGGTATTGAAGTAGATGTGGTGATGATGGTGATAGTGATAGATACGATGGTAATATGAGATGCTGATGGTGACTGGAGAAATAAGTTAACAATAGTGGTGGTGATGGTGGTGATGGTGGTGAAATAGTATATAATTCTACTATTATTACTAGTGATGATTCTACCACCATCATCATCATCACCACCATCACTGTTATCCTCTAATTCCATCACCATTACCCATTTCCACACACACACACACACACACACACACACACACACACACACACACACCAACCCAAATCCTTCAATAATGTCTACAAACTCTTGCACCATTTTCATCAATATTATTTTCCCTACTATTTTTTTTTATGGTGTGAGGGAGAGAAAGGAGTCAGGCCAACCAGGTAACGAGAGCTTTCACATACTAACGAGAAAAAAAAAAGGATTTATCTTTGAGCTTGCTTTTTCGTGGAGTTCTCATGGCGAATAGAAAATACGTTGTGTGTTTTTGGTTCGCTACTAAAACAGCTATTCCCGTGCTGCCTTGTTTAATTGAGCGAGTTGTAATTGCAATTTGTGAATTATTGCCCTGTTGTGATTTTATGTACAGTTTAGAGGGGGGGTGGGGTGGAGTGGGGGAGAATGGGGTGGGAGAGGGAGTTTGGGAGGAGAGAGTAGGGTAGGGTTGGGGGTGGGGTGGAGGGAGAGGAGGGATGTTTGTGATGGTAGAAGAGGGTGAGGGAGGGGAAAGAGTAGGGGAGAGAGGAAAAGTGTGTGGTGAGAGAGAATGTGAGATGAGAGGTGAGGGGTAGAAGAGAGGGGTGTTAGTGTGTGGGTGGGGGGGGAGAGAGATTATGGGTGTAGGGAGAAAATAGAGTGTGTGTGTATAGGATGCGTGAGAGAAAAGGAGTGGGGGGGGATGATGGAGTGTGTGGGATGATGGGTTAGGTTGTAAGGAAGTGGGGAAGAGAGTAGAGTGGGAAGGCAGTGACGGTGGTATGGTGGGGAAGAGGTGTAGTTGGGTGTTATGGAGTTTGTATAGTGTGGAGGGAGTAGTTGGTGGGAAGAAGATGCATAATGAGTGTCAGTAATGTCAGCAGGTGTTGTGGCACTGTCTGTTAATTAGCCGCTGACTTGATGTGAACCTTAGGAAGAATTAGAGTGAGACTGACTGACTGAAAGACTGGCTGACTAACTGAACAACTGACTGACTGAATCTGCCATACTGACTGATTGACTTTACAACTTCATATCGTTTGAAATCCTTGGAATCTTTGTATGATTTAAATAAATTTTTATATAGAGAAGCTCATACTTTAGTCTATTGCATGATTGTATATGTTGTTAGTTCTGAAATACATTATAATCCTTTTAATTTCAGTAAACCTTTAATTTAAATCCCTTTAATACGATGTCACCCTCTTGTGTACAGTGACCTAGTGTATAGGATAATGTCTTAACCCCTTGGGGACGATGACACAACTCCTTCAGTATTAAGCCTTATATTGCTCTCGGGAGGTTAAGTTATCTTACTCTGGGGGTTAAGTTATCTTACTCTGGGGGTTAAGCCATCGTACCTGGGGGATTAAGCCATCATAGTGTGGGCGTCCTTACAACAGCACCACGTACGTATCTGTAGTCCTCACAACATCCATCACGTACCTGTAGTCGTTCGTGTCGAGGGTCTTGCCGTCCTTGGCCACGGTGAGGGAAATGGGAGAGTCGCCCCTGGCCTCACACTTAGCTTGACGCTCTCCCCACGACGCACCTCCACCGACCCGTCCCCAGACACGATAGGCGGCGCTGAGGACACACCAGGGCTTCGTCAGATAGGTCTCCAGGACACATTAATTTAAAAAGGATTTGGATGACAGGGAGAGAGAGAGAGAGAGAGAGAGAGAGAGAGAGAGAGTGATCAAGAGGCTGGACGCAATTGATTGGATAAATTTATTGAAAGGTTGGACCAAATTACACTAGATTTCGATGTTGATTAAGATTGGTTTGGAACTAAATTAATCAAAAGATGATAAAAAAGAGATAACAAGATATTTCATGTTCATCAGGGCAGCTAATTGGACAATACTGATCAATTTAATTACGAAGCTGATCAAGAAAGGCTGATTAAAATTAACGAGACCAATGTGGGGGGGTGGAGTTGATCAGAGCATTTAGTTTGAAAGTTTAATGCCACCAAAAAATAAACAAAATATTCAAGAAACTAATAATATTCTAAATGGGGAATAAATCTGATATATAAATGTTAGTTAGGTGATATAGAGAAAAAATTTAATATATGACATTAATTATTTCTTCTTAATCGAATGCGGGCGTAATGATGTTCTACTGGAGGTAATTAGAACAGTGTAATAGTCAAGGTAATGAAGGTAAATGAATGATTTATCTGCTGTAATTAGAATGTATGATAATTACTGAATAGATTAGGAATGATGAATAGTTTTAATAATAATAATAATAATAATAATAATAATAATAATAATAATAATAATTAAACTGCAATGTACAAATTTACCCATACCTCCGAGTATTAAAATAACATTACTTAGCATCTAACATAATTATTAAAAGTATAAATATGGGCCAAAAAATTAATTACCTATTTAAAGTATTTACCTTACGATAGTGTTGACTAGAAAGTATTTACCATTTAGGGAATATGTTCTCAAGAAAGTATTTAATTACCATAGGCCTATGCATATAGTAGGCCTATACAGAGTAAACATAATCCAGAAGGTAGACGCTATTTAGTGTTTGTATATGATTCATTTAACATTTAGATTATAGAAAGAGGAGTCTAAAAAATATATCAGAAAAAGGTTTGATCCAAGGAAAAAATATTGACCAGTTCCTTAGATTCATTCATCAACAGCAACAGCAACACAACAACAGCAACACAACAGCAACAGCAACACAAAAGTCACCGTATTATTGTCAACAGGGGAAACACTTACACCTCCTCCTCCTAACACAGTTCAGGGGCGGAGTCTAAAATCAAAATTAAAAAAAATAAAAATTTTTATACACTTTCCTCCTTGACGTTAACTCCACCAAGCGTCCCACTTCGAAGGCCATTAATACCAATTACACTAATGCTTGAATACTTAGCCTCACAAATTCTGAGGGAAAACGCCTTAAGTTCTCCCTCTCTTTCTCTCTTTTATCTTTCTCTCTCTCTCTCTCTCTCTCTCTCTCTCTCTCTCTCTCTCTCTCTCTCTCTCTTTCTTTCTTTCTTTCTTTCTCTCTCTCTTTCTCTCTCTTCTCTCTCTCTCTCTCTCTCTCTCTCTCTCTCTCTCCCTCTCTCACCCACCCTCACCCATCTACACCTCTTTCACCCCTCCTACTTTACCTCATCCACCCTTTTCACCCCTCCCTCCTTCCCTTCCTCTCCGTCAATCCCTCAATCACTCTCACTGGCTCCTCCATCTCATCATCTCATCAACCCATCAATTTGTGGCTTGTCAACTCTCTTTTATTCTCTGTTCTCCCCCTCTCTTTGTCTCTCCCTAAGGCGGTTTTGAGAGACTTTCTTGACAAGTGATGGAGGAAGAGACAAACTTATGCCCTGTAAGTCTTTGGGCCAACTTACCTCCCCCAAGTTGGGAGAACTCTGACGACTTAACCCCTGCTGGGAGGCTAGCCCCCCCCTCTCCCTCCCTCTCCCTCTCCTGCCCCTCCCTCCCTCCTCCTGCCCCTCCTCCCTCTCTGCCTCCCCTCCTCCCTCTCCTGCCCCCTCACCTCCCTCCTGCCTTCTCCTCCTCCCTTTCTCTCCTTTTCCTTCCTCCCTCTCCTCCTTAAATTTTTCTTCTTTCCTCTCCTCCTTCTTCCTTCCTTCTCCTCCATTCCTTTCTCCGTCTCGTCTTCCCTCCCTCCTCACTCCTTCACCTCACGCACTTCACTACCTCTCTCTCCCTTCCCTCCCTCCTCCTCCTCCCTCCCTTCCTCCTCCCTCCCTCACGCACTCTCACTCAATCTCTCTTCTCTCCCTCTCCTTCCTTCCTTCCTTCCTTCCTTCCTTCCTTCCTTCCTTCCTTCCTTCCTCCCAGTCCATGTAGTATTCATATGTTTCCTCAACAAAACACAAACAAAACAGAGGCATCAATTCACAATCCTCTCTTGATGCCTGCAGTGAGGACGAGGTGAGGGGAGGTGAAGGGAGGTAAGGGAGGGAGGAAAGGGGAGGTAAGGGAGAGAGGAAAGGGGAGGTGGAGGTAAGAGAGGGGAGGTGAGATAAGGGAGGAAAAGGGAGGTGAAGGTAAGAGAAAGGAGGGGAGGTAAGGGTAGGAAAGGGGAGATGAAGTGAAGAAAGGGAGGTGAGGGGGTAAGAGAGTAAAGGGAGATGAAAGGTGGAGAGGGGAGGAAATGTAAGAAAGTAGGTAAGGGAGATGAAGGGAAGAAGGGAGAGATCAGGGCATGGTAGGAAAGGAGAGGAGGATAGGAGGGGAGAGGACAGGGGAGGAGAGGGGAAAGGAGCGATGGGGAGGATTTCTAGTAAAGTATGATTGTGCAGAATCTCTCTTAGATTGGTTCACATTCAAAGGATCGGTAGTTTGCTCTCTCTCTCTCTCTCTCTCTCTCTCTCTCTCTCTCTCTCTCTCTATTATTCTGAAGTCTGGTTATGTTCTCTCTATTTCTCTCTCTATTATTCTGAAGTCTGGTTATACTCTCTCTCTCTCTCTCTCTCTCTCTCTATTATTCTGAAGTCTGGTTATATTCTCTCTCTCTCTCTCTCTCTCTCTCTCTACTATTTTTTTTTACATATTTTTTATCAATTAAGAAAAATAATGAAAATTGAGTTCAAATCCCGAGAGAGAAATATCCAATAGTGGACTGCCATATCTACTACTCTGTTTAGTATTTACAATTCCTAGGTCAACTAATGTATTTATATTGTGTTAACCTTTGACCTCTGACCCTTGATAGTCTAGTGAATGAGTTAAAGAATGAGGGTTTGTTATATTTAAATGTAAGAATAAAGATAGATAGATAGGGGTAGAGAGAGACATACATACATACATACATACATACATACATACATACATACATACATACATACATACATACATACACACATACATACACACATACATACATACATACACACATACATACACACACATACATACATACATACATACATACATACATACATACACACATACATACATACACACATACATACATACATACACACATACATACATACATACACACGTACATACATACATACATACATACATACACACATACATACATACATACATACATACATACATACATACCTACACTGATAACGGATTATTTTCAGTAAGGTTTTATCAACACGTGTGTCTGTGTGATGATAAGGGTGATAGCATCAACATGAGGCCCAGATATTAATGTCACATGATATTTAATTGAGGGAAAAATACCATTAATTTTATACCTTGGATCAGAGGCGTTAGTGGAGAAAAAAAAAATATATATAAATTAAAAGTAGTTATAGATTTCTGAAAGTAGTTATAGATTTCTGAAAGTAGTTATAGATTTTTGGAAGTAGTTATGGATCTCTGAAAGTAGTTATAGATTTCTGAAAGTAGTTATGGATCTCTGAAAGTAGTTATAGATTTCTGAAAGTAGTTATAGATCTCTGGAAGTAGTTATAGATCTCTGGAAGTAGTTATAGATTTCTGAAAGTAGTTATAGATTTCTGAAGGTAGTTATAGATTTCTGAAAGTAGTTATAGATCTTTGAAAGTAGTTATGGATCTCTGAAAGTAGTTATAGATTTCTGAAAGTAGTTATAGATTTCTGAAAGTAGTTATGGATCTCTGAAAGTAGTTATAGATTTCTGAAAGTAGTTATAGATCTCTGGAAGTAGTTATAGATCTCTGAAAGTAGTTATAGATCTCTGAAAGTGGTTATAGATTTCTGAAAGTAGTTATAGATTTCTGAAAGTAGTTATAGATCTCTGGAAGTAGTTATAGATCTCTGAAAGTAGTTATAGATCTCTGAAAGTGGTTATAGATTTCTGAAAGTAGTTATAGATCTCTGAAAGTAGTTATAGATCTCTGAAAGTAGTTATAGATTTCTGAAAGTAGTTATAGATCTCTGGAAGTAGTTATAGATCTCTGAAAGTAGTTATAGATCTCTGAAAGTAGTTATAGATCTCTGAAAGTAGTTATAGATCTCTGAATATATTAATAAACGTCTCATAAATTATACCGATTTAGTTATATATTGAAAGATCACTAAAAATAATTAAATAGTAAAAAAAAATACGAAGGAATATAATTTTTTTTAATGAGTTTATATGAGGAAAAAAAACATTTGAAGTTATTTAAATGTTGTGACTCAGCAGTAACATGTTCACTACCTATTTATTACCAGGTGTTGTAGGCTTAGGGAGGTTGAGTTACATGAGTGGTGTGTCCGGGAAAGTTGTGGGTGTTAGTTATCAAAGGGAGAAAGTTAACGCTTAGTTGTCTATACGAGTTGTGAGTATAAGGGAATGCTGGTTAACGATTGTCCTCCATATTCTTACTTGCCGTGTACCTGTCTTTACTAGTACCACTTACCGTGTACTGTACCTACCTACCTTCACCTAGTACTACTTGCTATACACCTGCCTTCACCTGGTACCATTTATCATCCACCTGCCCTCACCTGGTACCACTTATCATCCACCTGCCCTCACCTGGTACCACTTATCATCCACCTGCCCTCACCTGGTACCACTTATCATCCACCTGCCCTCACCTGGTACCACTTACCTTGCACCTGGAGATTGATGATGGCAGAGAGGCCGGCACCCACACCATTGTTTGCCTCACATAGGTAACTTCCCTCTGCTTCCTCCGTCGCCGCCCCCACCATCAGGGTTCCGTTGCTCCACGTTCTACTGATGGGTACGCCAACTCCCAATCCCATGCCCACGCCCATGCCAACGTTCATGCCCACTCCACTGTACACCCTCTTGCCAGGACCTGTAAATTGAATCTCATGAAATGTCGCGAAGATTAAACTTGAAGTGGGTAGGGTAGTGTAGGGTAGTGTAGGGTTGGGTTAGGTTAGGGTAGGTTAGGGTAGGTTAGGCACTAAGAATATTAAAGAAAAAACACGAATACAAAACACTGCACATGACAAGGAGCAAACAAATACAAACAAAAACAAACAATACACAACAATTTCTGTAAACAAGAAGTCATAAATACTCTTACCTTTTTAAAAACACAATTGGCGTAGATAAAACTCGATACTGTATTGAGCATTAAGAAATTATCCTTTTATAACACAGGTTAGCGCGTGACAGGTGTATGAAAGTGAGGTAATTAGTATGTAATTGGAACACTTGTCTCAGTCTGCGAGTGTCCTGGAGGAGAAGTTTTTGACCCGCCTCGCTGCCAGGCTTTTAAAAATCGCACGTCATTATTGGTAAGAGGAGGGAGTTTAAAATCCCTTCTAAATTTTACTTGTTGAAAGAATTAATTAGAACGCCGCTGAATATCATTTGGGAAGTTTGTGAAGTGTGTGTGTGTGTGTGTGTGTGTGTGTGTGTTATGAAGCTACTACTTACACCACATGACTGTTTTAGTTTTCCTTCTATATACACACAAATAACACGCCACTTCCTTGTATATCTCCAGTTAAAGATATATATATATATATATATATATATATATATATATATATATATATATATATATCGTGTGTATTTTTTACATATACATACTGTACAGTACGTACAAGTTCAAGAGTATACAAGAGTATAAGCTTGCTCACAAAGGCAAGAGTGACAACCCAGCGTGTATTATCTCCAACTTACCATCACTACCCTGTCATGTATATTCAGAGAACTACCTGAAGGAGACCTCTCTCGACTGACAAAGACCCCTAACAAACAACCCACCTGACTAACACAACATAGGCTTAAGATCCTACAGACAAAGATCCATTGGACTGTGACAAACAAGACCCCCACCTGACGAAGACCTACCTGGGCGGGTCTTTCTCCAGGTGACGGTGGGCTCCGGGAAGCCCGTAGCGTGACAGGTGAGGATGGCATCCTTCCCTCGGATGACGCTCACGTCATGGGGCTCAACCACCCAGCGGGGCGGCACTGTGGCAGGGAGGGACATCGAGGATTAGTTAGTTAAGCGTCCTTCACCAGCAGGAGGAAGAGGCCACAACACACAGGTCTTCGTTGATTAGTGAGAGAAGACTTTTTTTTTCACTGTAATTAAATGGAAGGTGAGTGACTTGCATTGTCTGGTTTTGAAAGGATGGTGGAATTGCGTTGTCTGGTCTGAAATGAAGGTGAACTTACACTATCAGTAATGGAAATGTGTTGGTGCTAAGCTGTAGAGTGACGCAAGCAGGGGTGGGCCATGTAGTGACGGGTGGGCCATGTAGTGACGGGTGGGCCATGTAGTGACGGGTGGGACCATGTGACGGGTGGGCCACGGTGCATGTAGTGACGGGTGGGCCATGTAGTGACGGTGGGCCATGTATTGACGGGGTGGTTCATGTATTGATGTATTGACGGGGTGGGTCATGTAGTGACGGGAGTGGGCCATGTAGTGAAGGGGGTGGGCCATGTATTGACGGGGGTGGTTCATGTAGTGACGCGAGTGGGCCATGTAGTGACGCGGGTGGGCCATGTAGTGACGTGGGTGGGCTATATAGTGACGGGGATAGGCCATGTAGTAACAGTGAGCCATGCAGTGACGGGAAGGGCCATGTACTGACAGAGTGGGCCATGACTAGAAGGAGAAGAGGTTTGATAACTACTAAGACAGATGGAGGGAATCATACCTAGATGGAGCGACTATTAATTAGTAATAATTTAATGGGAAGATGATTAAATGCAAACTGAAATTAACTGCGATTAGGTGGTGTGAGTAACGAAGCGATTGGTTTGATTATGATTGATTGGTTGACTGAATGATTATTAGTTGATAAAAGTGGTGATTAGTTAAATGTTCTAGGAGAGAGATGACTGATTGGATGGGATTGGAAACTAATGAAGGGGTATTAGGATTTGGTTCAAGGGTCACCTAGAGAGATGTTCTTGATAAATCCTTGACCATAACACCTTGAGTACGATGATATAACCCCTTGAGAGTACAATGACTTAACCCTCCCCCCCCCTCCGAGTACAGTGAATAGGTGTAACTTAACCTCTCGAGTAAGATGACTTAACCCCTCAAGTACTCAAGGGGTAGACATCGTACTCAAAGCATTGGCATCGCACTCAAAGGGTCGATATTGTACTCAAAGGGTCGACATCGTACTCAAAGGGCTTGAATACTAACCATCCTCAACACCATCCATAAATTCAACTCTGATGGAAAGTCTAAAAAAAATTGGATCTTTACCCAGAAATAAGGAAATTAATGGTGGGAGGGTTTGTCGAGCATTGATCCATTGGTGATAGAGCAGCTCCCTTTAATTAACAACTAAATGGGGGTAAACAAGGGTGTATGGAGGACTCTTTACCCCTTTCCAACCCACCCCACCCCACTTTACCCCTTCCCAACCCACCCCACCCCACTTTACCCCTTCCCAACTCACCCACCCCACTTTACCCCCTTCCCAACCCACCCCCCCCCACTTACTCCCTTCCCAACCCACCTACTGCTTTTCTCTCCTCCTTCCCCTTCCTTCTTCCTCCCTCCATCCCACCCTTCCTCCATTCCACCTCCCATGACGCAGTTTTCAGTGTAAGTTAAAGGAAGGGTGATAGAAATGATCAGATGTACAGGCGAGGATAGAGGGTCTCTCTCTCTCTCTCTCTCTCTTTTGTGTTCAGTGAGGGATATTATTAAGTAAACATACGACCCTTACCTGTTGGAGAGTTGTATCAGGATAGAGAGGGAGACGAGAACAGGGAAGGATGGATGGATGGAACAGAGAAGCCAACAAGAGTGGATGGATGGTTGGATGGATGGATGGATGGATGGATGGATGGATGGTTGGATGGATGGATGGATGGATGGATGGATGGATGGATGGATGGTTGGATGGATGGATGGATGGATGGATGGATGGATGGATGGTTGGATGGATGGATGGATGGATGGATGGATGGAACAGAGAAGCCAACAAGAGTGGATGGATGGTTGGATGGATGGAAGATTGACGGATGAAATTGAGAAGAGGTTAGTGAGGAGGTTTTAAGATAGTAATTGATGAATGATAGATAGAAGAGACAAATGGTGGATGGTGATAGAGAGATAGATAGATAGATAGATAGATAGATAGATAGATAGATAGATAGACAGATAGATAGACAGATAGATAGATAGATCATAGCTAAATGTAACACCAATAAGGAACACAAGAGACAGCTATATAAACACAAGGATTTATATATAAAACAAAGCTAATATAAACAGCCAATCAGATAATTAAAATAAATCCTAATTAAAAAAATGTGCAGAGTGATAATTAGGTGTTTGTATATAAAGGAATAATGACTTAAGGTTCTCAAAGTTAAAGACGGTAATTTGTGTTTCTCTTAAGTAGGTATTTGGAGAATGTCTCTTATGTGGTAAGGGGAGAAGAGCTAAAATTATCTCTCACAAATGTACGAATCTTTGAGAATCTTAAGCCGAGGAAAATGCAAAGATTTTATATATAAATTATTAGTTATTTAAGTGAACGTGATTTTTTTTTAAGTTGTGTAAAACTAACTGTGTAAAATATTTTCTTGGGGTGGAAAGAAAAAATGTATATATATATATATTTTTATCGTTATTATATTTCAAGAGGAAAAAAGTGATGCCAAGTTTTTTCTTCTATATTATTTGTGGTGTTGTGGGTAAAGACGAAGACTTTGGGCTTTTTTTATTGTGTGTGAATAAAGCCGATTTTCATGTATTTTTTCGTGTGATTAAAGATGTGCTTTTTCGTTTTTTTTTTTCTATGTTAAGTCGAATAGTTTTTGTTTTCAATTAAATATTATTTGTTGATAAAACCGAATACCCTTTTTGTTCAGTTATTTTTTTTTATTGTGTATAAAGAAGATAACTTATTCTATATTATTTTATACATTATTTAACCCGAAACTCAATTATCATTTTTTTATTATAAAACATTATTTTTATTCACATGTAATTTTCTAATTATTTTATTATTATTATTTTTTTTTTCGTTTTGTCTTTTGCTTTAGTGAACAAAATAAAACTAATTATGATAGAGTACTAAGTTGTCCTCTGGGCGGGGTTCTGACCAGTGGGGAATTGTCCGATAGATATTGTCTGATTGAATTTGGTCCGCGTAGTTATTTGCTCTTACATCTTCTTCCACCTCCACCTCCCATCCTTCGCCCTTAAGCTTCCCTCATCCCTTCCTTCAACTATTCCTTCTTCCTCTTGTCCTTTCCTTCTCCCTCCCCCCCCCACCTCCCTTTCCCCCCTCTCTCTCCCCCCACCTCCCTCCACCTTGGCTTGCTCCCATCGTTTCACCACCAAACCAATTGTCCTAACATGTCAGCCTCTCCTCACACTGTTCCTTCTTCTTGTATCTCACAGACAAACAGACAGACAGATCTCTTCCTAATCCTTTATCCTATAATCCTAAACCATCCATCCTGACATCCCATCACCCAAGCCTCTCCTTCAGTATAATCCTAACCCATCTCTCTTTGCCCTCACATTACACGAATCTCTCCCATATCCTATTCCATCCTTCTCAGGCATCCCATCATATAGAGATCTTCCCCTTCATCCTAAAAATCCTACCCAGTTCCCAATCTTTTTCTGTAAATCCTTTTCCCTTTCCACTGTGTCGCTTTCTCAGATTCTTAACGGGTCGTAAGTTAATTTAGTCACCCTTATGTGTTAAACCACCATCCCTGAGTGGGCTAATTAAACCACGGATGATGGTTTAATAATTACTTGAGGATGATGGTTAAACACTTTTAGATAATGGTTTAATTCCTCGCCGAAGTTATAAACTATCATCTGTGCGTAATTAAACCATTATCTAAAAGGTGTTAAACCATCATACGTGAGTAGTTAATCTATCATCCGTGAGTTATTAAACCACCAGCTGTGAGTTATTAAACCATCATCCTTGAGTAATTATTAAACCATCATCTCCCCCAAGGCAATTACTCTATCCTTATGTTTCAAATGTAGTTTTAAACGATGGCAAAAAATAAAATACCTTATTTTTTCCCCTGTGACCGCCTATCAGTGCTCATTAGACATTTTTCTCTCGTGCTAATGGCGGTAGAAATAAAAACTCTTATTTTTATCCTACGGCTTTCTATAGGTACTCATTAAGCCGGGTTTTTTTCCTGTATTATAGATGGGGAAAAAAGCGAGTTTTTTTCCTTAACAGCTTATGTGATGTTCATATCTGTTTTGTGTTTTATCCGAACTCGTTTTGTGTTTTATCCGAACTCGTTTTGTGTTTTATCCGAACTCGTTTTGTGTTTAATATATCATAAAATAATGAAGAAAAAAAAAACCGTGATATACTTTTTCATTTGATATTTAATTCGTTCGTTTATTTTTGTTAAAGAAAAAAATACTAATGATAATTTTTTTTCCCATATGGCTTCGTATCTGTACTCATTTAGCGTTTTAATTGGTGCATCAAAAGACAATAACCTCCTTTAATTTTTCCTCTATGATGTCCTGTTTGTATTAATTATCACCTATAAATTTTTGTATTAAAGATTGCCGCGAGAAAAGTAAGATATTTTTTTGAGTCAAACTTTGTCATTAATTGCTCTCTCTCCTACAGTGCAGGTCCAATTAGCGGTGAGTCTCATTTTGTTCCAACTCGGCACAATCTCACGGCTATCTCTATTTTCCCAATTTTTATCGTTTCTCTTTGTTTGTTTTCTTTTATCGAGTTTATTTCGTTCACCTTCTTTATCGTCTTATTTTTCTACGTCTGGCATTTGCTTTGAGGTCAGTTGGAATGTTGTTGATATTATAGGATAGTTGGATCTACTGTTTTTGTCATTATTATCATTTTCATTGTCTTCGTTATTTTATCATTATCTCTCATTATCATCACTGTAATCATATTCATTTTCATTATCATCATCATCATTGTCTTTGTTATTATTATTCATCTTCATTGTAATACTATTTTTTTACTGTTATTATTATCATCATCATCATCATCGTCATTATTAATTGTCATCTCAATTATAATCTTCTGTGTCAATGTCATCATCATTATCGCCTCTACCACTATCACTACCACCACTATCATCACTACCACCACCATCACCAATATTATCATCACTATCACCACCACCACCACCACCACCACTATCACTACCACACACTATCACCACCACGCACTATCACCACCACACACTATCACCACCTTACACTATCACCACCACCACTACCACCACCACCACCACCACCACCACCACTGTCGCCGATAATTTCTTGTCGCCAGAAACGGGTCAGCCATTTTTCCCAGATCTTATTAGGTCGTCAGCATTTCATTAACCTGATCCACTCTGGGAACTTTTCAGTAATTAAGTGAGCAGTTTGTTTCTATTAAGTTTTAATGTGAAGACTTTATCACGCTATTGATCTTGGTGACCTGGCGGTGACCTCTCGCTGGCAACACTACCCCTGAACAATTGCCACCTCGTTCCAGCCACTCCTGTTTGGGGTGGGTGTTTTACTCTTAGTTTCCCTGTGGTGTTTTCCTGCCTAGGGTGGGAATGTCTTACCTATTACACCACAGGTCGCCATACACACATCACTATCACCACCATATCACACACACACACACACACACACACACACACACACACACAAATACTCCAAGTGCTGCTGTTGGAAATAAATGTTTTAAATGTTGTTTATTTGTATTGAAAACTCACAGCACGAGATCTGGTTGATAACACGGCCGTATACACATAATATATTATATACTAAAGGGCGAGTCTTCATAATATAAATTGTTATGAATGTTTTACAGAAGAAGAATGTAGGAGTGTAGGAACAACACTATATAATGACCGGGTTTTGTCTCCTACAACAACTAAATTATGTTTAATAAGGCAAAATAACCGTGAGTGAGCATTGTTTAGACACACACACTACATAATTATGTGATGATAAAAATATAGGTCGAGCAAACGGCTGTTAAAATATAATGTGCGGCTGAAAAAGATTAATGAAGTGCTGGGTTATTAGAGCGTGCGGGAGAGGTGGGTAGGTCCAGGCAGTGCCACGAGACACACCACACCTGGTCAACACCTTGCTGAGTGTCCGCTGATTACTGAAACGGTGATCAGTGACATCAACCATCATTTTTTTAAGCTTTGCAGCTGACTCACGTACAGCTGTGTGGTGTGCAACTGTCGCTACAGGAGGAGATATTATTAATTATAGGAGAGAGGTGTTGAGGCGGTGAGGGACAACCTCCCGGGAGACACACTGGTGGCCAGCCGCAACTGGCCAGGGGACGTGCAACAGGTGCGTGTTGTGAGTCTCCCAGGTAAGTGGTCCTGATACCCCCACCACCTCCCTGCTCCCAAGGGCGTAAACCACTCAGTGTGTTGACCAGGTGTTGTGCGTCAGGTGGGTGCCTGTGAGGGGTGTGGTGAGGAAGTGCCAGAGTGAAGTGCTTAAACGGTGCCTCGCTAGTGCGCGGCTCTGGGATCCTGTAATTAGAGAATAAACGTGTTAGTGAATGGTGCTGGGGTGCGCGTGCGGTGCTGTGCGGTGCGGTGCGGTAATGTTGCGGTGCATCATCAGGCCGCAGGTTACGTTACCGCGCACGAGGAGCTGAGCCGTGTAGCGGACCTCACGCGCCTCGTTGCGCGCCACACACGTGTAGTTGCCAGCATGGTGAGGCCGCACGTGTGTCAGCACAAGGCTGGAGGAGAAAGTGTCGTGTTGGCTGATCTGGAGGTCGACGGAGGGGCTGAGGACGTGGCCATCCCGCAGCCACATCAGCGTCATGGGTGGGTCCCCCATCTGCACGTCGCACGTCACCGTCGTTCTCATGCCCGACACCAGCGACCCAAAGTCAAAGGGCTTGATGGAGGGCGGCACTGCAAGAGAAGGTGGTATTAGTGGGGCAGGAGTGGGCATGGTAGTTACCGTGGACACGCAGCGTGGCCGAGTGGGAGACGATGGCTGCTGGGGAGCTGGCTTGGCACGTGTAGTTCCCTGCGTGTTGGGAACGCAGTCTCTCTATCACCAGCGCCAAGACGAACTGTCCCAAAGGCGTAACGGTGACCCCGGGGGTGGAGGTGGCCTGAACGCCGTCATGTAGCCAGGTGAGGGTGACGGGCGGGTCCCCCTTTACAGCTACACACTGCACCGCCACCCGTGACCCCGCCCACAGCGACTCCGGCAGGGTAAAGGGCTCCACCTGAGGCGGCTCTGTAACAAACTTCTGGTTTACTGACATATATACACCATCCTACTGGCCTCGTCGTCTAGCTGATACTGAGAGGGCCGACCTTCTTACCCTGACCAGTGCTCTCAACCTTACCCTGCTGCTGTCCTCATCCATTATACACACATAGAAAACTGCTCTTCTCTCCACCTCACAATTATCCTGAGTCTCACCTATAAGAACACTGGAGGACCCACTCGGTTGGCTAGATACAGGAACCTTTCATCTTCACCCAGTTGAAGGACCACAACACAGGGCCACAACACAACACGCTAACCTAACCTAACCTAACCTAACCTAACCTAACCTAACCTAACCTAACCTAACCTAAACCCTCGAGGTAACATTAGGGTGTTTAATCATTAGGTGAAATAAGCTAGGGCTAATCTTCAGGTGATTACTTGACACTGTCGAAAATTAATATTACGAACAAAGACATAATCAATCCGAACAAAGACACAACATAACCGGGTATACCTTAACTTTTCTTCAGGAAATAACTAGTCCGGATAAAAAAAAATATGCCAATCCGGACAAATACACGACACTTCCGGTTACTTGTGGAAATTCCGGCCACAATGGGTTTGTTTAATTCGTGGCTGTTACAACGGGACCATAAATCAAAGGCTGTGTCCCCACGATAATTAATCTTCACCGGGTATAATTACCATATGATCATTATTCATTGGCAGTCGTTCAGGTGATTAGCATGCATAACCAAGTGTTAATTGATGCTAAAAAATTGGAAATGGATTTAATTAAGGAAATTAACGCCGTGTTAGCAAAATGTTATTTATGATGGTGAATTGAATGAAATGGGACGTTGAAATGGGTGGTCCTTACTGCTCCCTATTTTTATCAAACAGTTAACTATTAAATATGAAATTGATGCTGAGAAAAATTGGGACACATGAACTGCGAGTCTTGGAGTTTAGACCCAACCCAACCCAACCCAACCCATCCCAACCCATCCCAACCCATCCCAACCCAACCCATCCCATCCCATCCCAACCCAACCCAACCCATCCCATCCCATCCCATCCCAACCCAACCCAATCCAACCCAACCCAACCCAACCCAACCCAACCCAACCCAACCCAACCCAACCCAACCCAATCAACCAACCCAACAACCCAACCCAACCCAACCCAACCCAACCCAACCCATGTAATGAATAACTTGTAAGTGCATGTGTAATAAACCTTCAGGTACACAGTCCAGGTGTATGCGGTTATTGTTAGTGTAAAACTCACCTGGGTGACGTCAGCCCGCGTGTCGTATTAATTGCAATTTCCGCTCTTCAGGTTGACAGTTTTCGTTAATTTTGATAATGTTGATTGACTCGTGGAAGAACTTAGTGGTTTGTGAGTGCCTTTTTTCTCCATGTGTTTTGTGAGTGTGTTTCTTTCTCTGTGTTGTGAGTGTGTTCTCTTTCTCTAAGTGTGTTGTGAGTGTGTCCCTTTCTCTATGTGTGCTGTGTGTCTCTGAGTGTGTTGTGAGTGTGTTCTTTTCTCTAAGTGTGTTGTGAGTGTCTCTTACTCCGAGTGTGTTGTGAATTTGTCCCTTTCTCCCCTGTTCTTATTAGCATCTCTCTCTCTCTCTCTCTCTCACTCACTATATTTACTGTGTTTATGTCTCATTATCTATCCTTCTCTAATTAATTTGGAATATGATAATCAATCGCGTCTGGTTTTCCAATAATTGCTTGTCAGTCTGCCATTCTCTTTTGTCTCTTGCTGTCTGTCTTTCTATCTTTCTCTCTCTTTCTCTTTCTTTTTCTCATTCTTTCACTGTCCCTCTCGCTTTTTTATTCTCATTCTCATTTTCTCTCTCTTTCTCTGTACCTCTTTCTCTCTCTCTTGTTTTCGTTTGTCTCATTTAGTGTCTCGCCCTTTCTTATCCTATTGCCGATTCTCTCCATCTCTCTCCTTTTCTATCTTCACCTCTCATCCATTCTGCATCTTAACTTCTCTCCCCCATCTCTGCTTCTTGCCTTCTCCCCCTTCCTTCTCCCTCACCTTCCATCTCTCTCTCTTCTCACTCTTTCCCTCTTCGTATTCCTTTCCCACCTTCCCTCCCTCTACTTTCTTGCTCCTCACTTTCTTTCCCTTTCTTCCTTTCCTTCCTCCCTTTCCTCCTTCCCTCTTTCCCTCTCCTTTCTTCCTCTTCCCCATCTTTCTAACCCTCTTCTTCCTTCTTCCTGTCTCTTTCTCCCCTTCCTATTTCCCTTTCTTCCCGCATTACCTCCCCTCCCCCAATCTTTCCCTTACTCACCCCTGCTCGTGTTTCCTCCTTCCTTCTCCCTTCCCATCTTTTCTCATCTTCCCCCTCCCTCTCACCCTCTCCTCCCTCCCATTCTCCTTCCTTCCCTCCTACCCTCCGACCTCTCCCTCCCTCCCATCATAACAGAAGCGTTTGGTCCACGTGTATTGGAGCGTCAAGGAATCAAACTTGGTCGACGAAAGATTGATTTTTGAGCCGACTTCGGAGTTCCCCTCGGCACGCTTTTTATTAACCCCGTAAGAAGACCTGACCACCACAGTCCCTTCTGACGGAGAAAAAAATGTACTATAAACTTTCTCTCTTTCTCTTAGTATTTGATTCTCCTCTTGTTTTGTTCTCTCTCTCTCTCTCTCTCTCTCTCTCTCTCTCTCTCTCTCAGAATCTTTAATAACTTGCTCTTGTTATTCTCATAGCACCTGTGTGTAAAATGTTGTTATTGGTAATTTCTGTCTGTTTGTTTGTCTGTCAGTCTGTATGTCTGTCTGTTAGTCTGTATGTCTCTGCTTGTTTGTTTTTCTGATCGTTTGCTTGTCTCTGTCTGTTTATCTCTCTCTCTCTCTCTCTCTCTCTCTCTCTCTCTCTCTCTCTCTCTCTCTCTCTCTCTCTCTCTCTGTATGTCCCCAGAATGACTCGCTAATGAAGTGAACTTGTTAGGTATGATTAACTTGTATCAAGAACCACATGCTAAAGTTCTTGCTTCACATCTTGCCAAATTTGACCAAGTGTTGCCATGGTAATAATGTTTTTTGTGGTAAAAGAAAACGGTATTATGAGACAGTTTTTAGCAGTAACTTCGTCATTCGTTCAATATTTTACTCTACAATTATTTTCTCTTTGTTGTCTTGTATTTTTCTCTTCTGTAAACAAATAAAAAATGTTTTTCTCTTATTTTCTTCTAGTGTTCAATTATCTTATTTCCTTCCCCTGCCTCTATTCTCCTTAACGTTTTTTTTTCCTCTTTGTCTTCATATCTTTGTGTTATTCTCTCTCTCTCTCTCTCTCTCTCTCTCTCTCTCTCTCTCTCTCTCTCTCAACAGGGAATAAATGCAATAGTGAGTAGGCGAAGTATAGAAGATTCAACTGAAGATTATACACCCCTAACACTGTCTGAGGGTTAGGTTAGGTTAGACTAGGTTAGGCTAGACTAGGTATGGTTCGGTTAGGTTAGGTTAGCTATAGGGTGGCTAATCTTCAGGTGAAATAAGTTGGGTGGTTTGGTATATGCTTGTGATGGCTTTGTTTACCATCGTTTTCATACCTGTATTTGCCATGTACATATTATATATACACTGTCTATGTTTACGTTGGTTATATACTGAACCTGAACTGTCTGTGTGTACATTGTGTGTGTATCTATACTGCCTATGGACATTATGAAACCCCCATTGTCTATATTTAACGCTGAATCAATGTGAACGTGGATGACAATTTTACGGACTAAATATCTCCATCGATACAGATATTAATCTTGTCAACAGAAAATAGAGATTTACCGAAACGTGGACACAAATGTTTTACGCCATGGCAGGTTTGTATATTTGTCACCCATAGTGCGTGAGTGAGATCATGATGGCTTAGGTTAGGTTAGGTTAGGTTTGGTTAGGTTAGGTTAGGTTAGGTTTGGTTGAATGCGAAGGTTGGTATTTCGGGATAACTTGATATCTATGTGAACGAAATGACTGTTGATATTATTGAAAGATACTATTGATATTAAAAAAAAATACCCCTGATTGCTCTTGTCATTTTGATTTTGTTATATCTTCTTATTTTTGATATTTTTTTAAGTGCTAAATTAACGAAGAATTTTGGTTTAGTTTGTGAGTTTGAGGTCTAAGAACACTAAAGTATTTGACTGCGAAAAGAAGATAAAACGAGAAAAAATAGACTCTTTCGCGAACTTATATTTCAGATTAGCATAAGTTACACAGATTAGGCACAAGTGACTCAAGTCCAAGTCAGGTCAGATCAGGCCAGGTCATATGTCACTCGAGTGTTATACAATAGGTAATGAGGGGTCAGGTCAGGATAGGTCATATATCACTCGTGTTGTACAAGTAGTGAGGGGTCAGGTTAGGTCATGTCAAGTCAGGAGGTCATATATCACTCGTGTTATACAATAAGTAATGAGGGGTCAGGTCAAGCCAGGTCATATATCACTAATACAATAAGTAGTGAAGGATCTGATCACTTCAGGTCAGGTCAAGTCAGGAAGTCATGTATCATATCTTATACAATAGGAAGCAGGTTAGACCAGCATTGATCACGTACAAAGCCGACAAAAGAGATCCATAAATTTCCTCTCGGTTAAAAAAAAAAGGATAAAGAAAGAAAGATGAAACGCCGTAAAATATCTCAACTGTTATTGTGTGTATAGATGGGCGGGGCTGGTGACACATTTATGGCTCCCAGGGAATAAAGAGAGGGAGAAAAAGAGTGATGAGGGTGGGTGGTGGTGGACGGTAGTGTGTGGTGGTGGGTGGTGGTAGTGGGTGGTGGTGGTGGTGGTGGTGGTAGTGTGTGGTGGTGGGGGATGGTAAGGTAGTAGTGGTAGAATTCACGTTTCGATGATTGTGTGTGTACCTGAATTACCTAAAGACGAGAGAGAGAGAGAGAGAGAGAGAGAGAGAGAGAGAGAGACCTAATACATAGTACACCGGCGTGCCATTTAACTCTCCAGAGATAGAAATTGTCTCATTTAGCAGTAATTTAACGCCTCCGCTATATTTATAACGACGTATCTCGGGTTATGGCGGAGAATTTGCATTTTTAACTCATAGAAATTCGCCATTATCAGCCATGTATATTCATGGGAAACACCTGACCTATACATACATACATGCGGTACATACATACATATATACAGGGGGTATATACATACATACATACATAGAAACAGGGGGTATATATATACATACATACATACATACATACATACATACATACATGTGTGTTTATGTATGTATTATTGGGGGAATATATTCGTTCACTGATTAGCAATTAAGAATAGAGGGTTCACATGGCCACGCCTCTAGCGCTCAGTTTTAACCAATAAAAAATATTTTTATAACAGAGGATAAAAGATTTGGCCAATAAAAATGATGTTTTTATATAAGAGGAAATACAAAAATGTGAGTTATAGTAATTATATATTTAGCCTCCCGACACTGAGGGTAGATGACCTATAAGTTGTTGTTGTTATTATTATTATCAAAGGATGGAAGTGATGCGAATAGAAACATGACTCTCTCTCTCTCTCTCTCTCTCTCTCTCTCTCTCTCTGTCTCTCTCTCTCATCCTGATACAGATTAATTTAAAGAGTTAACATTTTCTCTCTCTGTCTCTCGGACTTTAATTAGTTCTATAAAGTAATTAAGACGCATAATATTACACGCCGTAATTTAGGATCGTCTGAGAATATCGTCATTATTATTCACAGAAAAGACTTTTTTTTTTAACTCAACAGGATTGCTAGATTGACAATTACGTTGCTTCGCCAATTTTTAGAAGACTCGCTAATTTTACAGTTGTTCATGTAGATTCGCCAATTTTAAAGTTTAGACGGTATCTCACGTTCGCTAATATTACTTGACTTCCGGGTTTTTGCATAGATGTCAATAACGCATATTTAGCAAAATTCTAAGGGGCACTAATTTCGCACATTCACCCTATAATTCGCCCACTAATTTTTGCAAACGTGCCATTTTTTTTTCCATTTTCCAAAGTTTTTCACCACTCGCCTCATTATATAAGCTTTTCAGTATTTTACATCCACCTAATGTTTTGCAAGTACGATTTATTTTTAACAAACTCAGTAGTATTTGCAAATGCGCCATTTTTCTTTCGCAAGTTCGTCAGTTTTTTGTAAGTACACCAATTTGTACAAACTCGTCAGTACTGTATTAGGAAACGCACCAGTTTTCGGCAACGCACCAGTTTTCGGCAACGCACCAATTTTCGGCAACGCACCAATTTTCGGCAACGCACCAATTTTCACCAACATTCCCGTTTTTTACCTGCTCATCAATTTCAAAGTTTCCCGGCTATTCACGAGGCCAGGTTATAGGTTACCTGCGGTCATGAAATCACCAAGTAATTAACGTTGCTCAGCCATTCGTTAACGTTAGGTATTTCCTATCTCGTTACTGTTCAGGTACTGTGACGTTTTCGGCATGACTCGTATATAATTCTAATATTTTTTAGAGAATTATTAAAAATTATCCCAATTCTTATCATACTCAACAATTAGTATACCTTGAATTAGTACACCTTTAATACACTAATTCTTTAATAATCATCCTTAAGTTATCATACATAGGACGGTCGAGTCTTATTACTCCAATAATATTAATCATACTTGATAGTTATCGTGCCTGGAACGCCTGAAGCTTGGTATACTAATGGTGATAATTATACTTGATCAGTTAAGATACTTTGTACGCTTATCTTATACATACAATAATTATACTTACTTCATCATACCTATAAGGTTCTTTTACAATACGCCTATAATACTCATACTCAATCATCATACCTAGAACACCCGTATCTATAACATCATCAATAATCATACTCGACACTCATCATACTTAAGAGCCATTAACACGTAAAGACTATAATATACCCGATTATTATTTCACGTAAGATCAAATCATACTTAAGAGCTATTACACGTAAGGCCATATCATACCCGAGGGCCATTACACACGGAACAATCATCCTACCCGGCGCGGCAGTCACCGGGATCTAGAGGAAGTAGTGATGTGCGGTCATTGAGCAGAGAGGGATTAGCCAGTCCGTATGTGCCATCCAATCAGCTTATAGTGTTGACAGACGATTATTGGACTGAATGAAGAGACGATCGATGCTACGGCCATCAGGTTAATGGGGACACTACCCCCTCCCTCCCCGGTCCTCTCCTCTCCCTCCCTCCCCGGTCCTCTCCTCTCCCTTCCTCCCTCTCTCCCTCCTTTCCTCCATCTCTCCCCCTCACCCTCCCCAGTACCCTTCCTGGCTCCCTCTTTAATCCCGGTCCCCTCTCTCACCCCTCACCCTCCCCACTCTTCTCCCTCACCTCTCACCCCCCCACCTTTCTCACCCCCTCATCCTCCTCCTCACCCCTCTTCCACCCCTCCTCCTTTCCCCTCCCCTCTGCTTCCTTTCCACTTTCCCTACATCCTTCACCCTCCCCCCTCTATTTATCTCACACCTGTCTCTTCCACCTTCCCTCTTCCCCAACACCTTCGCCCCCTTCCTCCCCTTCCCTCACCCCCACTGGCTTTATGGGTTACGCCGTTTTCAGGAACCCGTTTTTGTGTGTGTGTTTTTTTTATGGAGTTCCGTTTTCTGTTAACCTTTGATGATGTTTAATTTTGTTTTTGTTTTTTTTCGTAGATTGAATGGGAGTTTTTTCTTTGTAAGGGTGGTGGGTGGCCGAGTGGATTTAGTGCTCGCATTCTTTCCTAAGGGTCATTGGTTCGTACCAGGGTACACTCCACCCAGCTGTGATTGGATACCTAACTCTATAGATGGGAGGAGTGAAGTGCGGTCGAGTGCTATGGCTCCATATTGGCTCCCTGTGTACCGTAAAACAAAAAAAAATATACAGTGTACTATATCCGCACTGCCCTGTACAGGTCATCAAACCTGTGAGACTTACTGCAACAACATGAACCAACCATACACCTATAACTTAACCTGGAAATATCGTTGGTGGCAGCCTGTGTCATTCTAGCCAAGAGCAGCAGCCTGTGTCATTCTAGCCAAGAGCAGCAGCCTGTGTCATTCTTGCCAAGTAATCCCAGACTCATCCTCTAAGAAAAAATCGACAACAGCAGATAGCACTCAACACCCTGTTAGGAATGACGTGCGGAGGACTGACGAAGGAGGAGGAGGAAGAGGAAGAGGAGGAGGAGGAGGAGGAGGAGGAGGAGGAGGAGGAGCAGGAGGAGCAGGAGAGGCCCATAGGAACTTACCGACGACTCTGAGAGGGAGGGACTGGGAGGAGGCGTGGCCGTGCTTGTTGGTGGCAGTACAGGTGTAGTCGCCCTCATCAGCGTTGCGGGTCACCTGTGTAATTACCAACTCCCCATCCGTTGAGACCACTTGTCGTCTGTTTATAGGTAACGTCCGACCACCTGTAGAGGGTAGAGAGATAACAGCTGGTTAACGTTTGACCACCTGTAGAGGGTAGAGATATAACAGCTGGTTAACTTTTGATCAGCTGTAGAGGGTAGAGAGATAACAGCTGGTTAACTTTTGACCATCTGTAGAGAATAGGTGGATAACAGCTGGTTAACTTTTGACCACCTGTAAGTAGAAGAACAGATGGTTAACTTTTGACCACCTGTAGAGGGTATTAGAAGATAACTTAACTGGTTAACTTTTGACCACCTGCTTAGAGGTAGAGATAACAACTGGTTAACGTTTGACCACCTGTAAGAGAGTAGAGATAACAGCTGGTTAACGTTTGACCACCTGTAGAGAGGTAGAGATAACAGCCAGTTAACTTTTGACCACCTGTAGAGGTAGAGATAACAGCTAGTTAACTTTTGACCACCTGTAGAAGTAGAGATAACAGCTGGTTAACGTTTGACCAGCTGTAGAAATAGAAGAACAGATGGTTAACTTTTGACCACCTGTAGAGGGTGAAGATAACAGCTGGTTAACTTTTGACCTACCTGTAGAGGGTAGAGATAACAGCTGGTTAACTTTATGACCACCTGTGAGAGTAGAGATGACAGCTGGTTAACGTTTGACCAGCTGTAGAAATGAGAAGAACAGATGGTTAACTTTGACCACCTGTAGAGGTAGAGAAGATAACAACTGGTTAACTTTTGACCACCTGTAGGAGTAGAGATAACAACTGGTTAACTTTGACCAGCTGTAGAGAGTAGAAGATAACAGCTGGTTAACTTTTGACCACCTGTAGAAGTAGAAGAACAGATGGTTAACTTTTTGACCACCTGTAGAGGTGAAGAATAACAACTGGTTAACTTTTGACCACCTGTAGAGGGTAGAGAGATAACAGCTGGTTAACGTTTGACCACCTGTAAGAGAGATGAAGAGATAACAGCTGGTTAGTTTGACCACCTGTGGGGAGTAGAGATAACAGCTGGTTAACTTTTGACCAGCTGTAGAAGTAGAAAGAGAACAGATGGTTAGCTTTTGACACCTGCTGAGGGTAGAGATAACAAGCTGGTTAACTTTTGACCACCTGTAGAGGTAGAGATAACAGCTGGATAGCTTTTGACCAACTGTAGAGAGTAGAAGATAACAGCTGGTTAACTTTGACCACCTGTAGAGGGTAGAGAGATAACAGCTGGTTAACTTTTGACCACCTGTAGAGGGTAGAGAGATAACAGCTGGTTAACTTTTGACCACCTGTAGAGAGTAGAGAGAACAGCTGGTTAACGTTTGACCACCTGTAGAGGGTAGAGAGATAACAGCTGGTTAACTTTTGACCACCTGTAGAGAGTAGAGAGAACAGATGGTTAACTTTTGACCACCTGTAGAGGGTAGAGAGATAACAGCCTGTTAACTTTTGACCAGCTGTAGAGAATAGGTGGATAACAGCTGGTACAGAAGAGAAGAAACCGACGATAGGTAAAGACGAGAGAGAGAGAGAGAGTCAGATGGTGTAGGGTGAGGCGACAGGAAGTATAGAGCGAATCAACAGGTGGTGCAGCATGAGGCAAGATAGGGATGCAATTTGAAGCAACAGGTGGCGCAGAGTGAACTAACAGGTGGTGCAGGGTGAGGCAACATGTGGTGCAGTATGAAGCAACAGGTGGTGCAGTATGATGCAACAGGTGGTATAAAGTGAAGCAACAGGTGGTTCAGCATGAGGTAACTAATGATGCAGGGTGAAGCACCAGGTGGTTCAGAGTGAAACAACAGGTGGTTCAGAGTGAGGCAACAGGTGGTGAAGTATGAAGCAACAGGTGGGTCAGAGTGAAGTAACAGGTAGTTTAGAGTGAGGCAACAGGTGGGTCAGAGTGAGGCAACAGGTGGGTCAGAGTGAGGCAACAGGTGGGTCAGAGTGAGGCAACAGGTGGGTCAGAGTGAGGCAACAGGTGGGTCAGAGTGAGGCAACAGGTGGTTGGTGCAGTAGAGAACCAATCATTATGGTTACAAACAGGTGACATGTGCCTTACAGATGCTAGAGTTCAACAGGTGTAGGAAATACCTTCTCCCAACCATGTGACAAGAGACCCATAACACCTGCTAATTGCCACAAGGTACAGGTGATTGACGTCAAAAAGAGTGAAATTTTGTAATTATTTTTTCTTGTGTATTTTGTCAAGTAATTACCTGTTGATGTTATTAATTACATCCTTGTTTGGGTCTTCAGCGATAGTTATTGAAGCCAGTAAGGTAGTTAAAGTATGGTGATTTAATGGTTGGTCAAATGGGTATATACGTGGAGTGTTGGTATTAGGAATTACTTTAACCAGTATACATTAACATGAATAGTTTTAGTTATTACAAACACTGTATTCCATTAATTACCATACCTGTAATTTGTCTACCTGTAGCTCTGTTTTTTATTATTGGTCTGTCGAAGCTGTTAAGCCATCTTATTTATGTAATTGTTTCTACTCAACGTTACAATTCCTACGCTATTTGATACTACAATTCGGTAATGCATCTTTAATTATGTCAGAGGTCACAGGTGTTGTTGATGTGAACTAAATTATCTTCACCGTGTTTATACGTCAGAGGTCACAGGTGTTGTAGATGTAAATTAAATTACCTTCACCGTGTTTATACTTCAGAGGTCACAGGTGTTGTAGATGTAAACTAAATTATCTTCACCGTGTTTATACATCAGAGGTCACATGTGTTGTAGATGTAAACTAAATTATCTTCACCGTGTTTATACGTCAGAGGTAACAGGTGTTGTAGATGTAAACTAAATTATCTTCACCGTGTTTATACGTCAGAGGTCACAGGTGTTGTAGATGTAAACCAAATAACCTTCACCGTGTTTATAATAATAGAAGGTCAGATTATCATTTTGACACTACCTGTGATCTAAACTGACAACTTTCAACTCCAAGAATTGTTCAAAATGAAAATCCAATTCAGTTATCATTCTGGAACTGACGATGAAAAAAAAAATCCTCACTTAACAACCCAAGTATCGGCCAGGAGAAGAAAATAAACCAGATATTAATACTTGGAACACGTCTGTAATCTTGTTATTGAGGAATATTTTGGCGGGAATCAATGGAAAATGCATAACTGGAGGGTTTTTGAGAATTATTAAATACTCGACAGTCTGACTCACAATGAACACTCACAATTATTATTTTTTCGTTCACCTTTGCAATAATAATTAGTTACTATCTTCAAAAGCTGAAAAAAAGAACAAATTGATACGAAGAATTAAGCGAATACAGAAAACGGGATAAATTTAAAGGGTGACTGTTTGTTTGGTCTGTGACGTCATCTCTGGTGTGTAACCTTGTTCTCTTACTGTTTACGGCTCATGATGATGATGGACATGTAAACAAAACGATCAACTGTGTTGGCGGAAGACATGTGAGGATATGTACGTAGTTAATATGGACAGGTATGTAGGGGACAGATAGGTACTTAGATAACAAGGACAGGTACGTAGGTGATAACGACTAGTAAGTAGGCAGGTAGGTAGGCAGGTATCAAGAACAATTACATAAATGACAAGAACAGGTATGCACGTAACAAGGACAGATACATAACAAGGACAGACACGTATCAAGGGCAGACACGTAACAAGGGCAGACACGTAACAAAGACAGACGCGTAACAAAGGCAGACACGTAACAATAACACAAGGACAGACACGTAACAAGAACAGACAGGTAACAAGGACAGGCACGTAGCACAAAAACAACTACAATAAGTGACAATGAAGTTAAAACTCTCTAATGATCACAGTTATTAGAACAACAAAACACACACACACACACACACACACACACACACACACACACACACACACACACACACACCCTGACATCTATGGCACACAGTATCAGAAACCAATACAACTAACATACAGAGCGAAGTCTGGCATCACTGCACAGGTAAATGCGGCTGACTGGTTGGTAAGTTGTCACAAACAGAAAATCGAAGCGAAACAGATTGAAACGACAGAATTGCAATTGAAAAATGGACTGAGCGGTATGAGTTTATAAAGAGAGAGAGAGAGAGAGAGAGAGAGAGAGAGAGAGAGAGAGAGAGAGAGAGAGAGATTGAGATTTTGATGTCGATATAGTATTAGTCTTTTCCTCTTAAGGGTTAGAACTGAGGTGTGTTAAAATGCTCATGTAGCCAGTTGTCCTTATATGTCGTCCACGTACACATGAAATGGACAAAGGCACGTACAGGGATACTGATTATTCGCTCAGTAGGTCACTTCCTTTCTCTAATCCCATCATAGTGAATAACACAAAGCATGAATAACCTACTAGTCATTTTAACTCATTAATAACAACACTCAACCACTACTAAAGGTCCCATTTTTGTCTGTTAATTTATTCATCTTTTACTATGATCGGCCAGTAGAGTGAGGCTTGGGTTACCTGACTGATCTCACCTTAATGATATTGCTAATCACTGAAGTAATTTTATCGGTGTTTGGTAAATGTGGAGGTGAAATGTGTGTTTATACGTAATTGGTATAGTGATTGCGGGAGATTTACTCGTATATAATTCGTATATAAAAATTGGAAGGTTTGTACTTTGTGTTGGTAATAGTGGTTAAGAAGATATTTTTTTTTTGTGTTGGTAATTGTGGTTAGGAAGATTTTTTATATATTGTTGATATATATGACTAAAAACAGGTGAGGTGTGTACTTTGTGTTGGTAACTGTGTTTGAAAGACTTATTTAGTACATATATACTACATATAGGTATATATAGTGTTGATAACTGTATTGGTAAAACATAACCCGGTACTAGTATATAATTGGTGTATACGCCTTTACAGACACAACTGATTGGTATATATACTGTATATATCCTGTTGGTATAACATTGGGTCTGAAATATTTCCCTTAGTATATATATATAACCCACCAGACAGGTATATATATATATCGTGTTGTTGATGATGGAGTAATGTTTTCAAGATGTATATACAATTACAGGGTATAAGGTATATCTCTTGTGTTGTTAACTGTAGAGCTTGTGTTCTCTCAGGTATATACAATTAACAAAAACGTATAATTAATGTTAGTAACTGTATATTCGTGTTCCTTCTGGTATATACAGTTATAAGGTATATCTTTTGTGTTGTTAACTGTAGACTTGTGTTCTTACAGGTATATACAATTAACAGAAACGTATAATTAATGTTAGTAACTGTATATTCATGTTCCTTCTGGTATATACAGTTATAAGGTATATCTTTTGTGTTGTTAACTGTAGACTTGTGTTCTTACAGGTATATACACTTAACAGGAACACATTAGAAGCAAGGTGTTTGTGTTTCTCTTGGTATATACAGATGTCAGCAGTGTGTTGCTAGTTGTGAGTTTTCGTTTCCCCTTTTGGTATATACTCGCCAGCCATTATTCACAAGAAAAAGGTATAATTAACGATAGGGAGGGAAGGGGTGATGCCGACCATGGTAGCGGAGAGGGAGAGAGAGAGAGAGAGAGAGAGAGAGAGAGAGAGAGTGTATATATATCATCGTTGGTTGGATAATGAGGTGAGATATTATGGTAGTGTCTTGGTAGAAAGGATCATGGGAGTGTTCATGGTAGAACTAATAATAACATGATAATGCCATGGTAGGTAAAAAGACCTGAAAGGGTTTTTAGGATGAATTAATGGGGTTTTGTATTGACCATTTAGGGACGATTTGGGGGAAAGACACAATTTAAGGGTTTATATAATGTTACTCGAAGGCTATTTTAGGGTTCGATAAAGAATGGATACTTTGCGTGGATTGTTGTGTGTAACTTTTTGCGTGCATAGTTGCGAGTGTCTTTTGCGTACAAGGTTCAATGTTTGAATGTTACTTTTTGTGTGTGCAAATTTTAGCGTGTCATTCTTACGTACATAGTTTGCTTTAGTTGCTTGAGTGTGCCTGTTTTGCGTGTGTCTTGCGTGTATGGTTGCGTGTGACTCACTTTTGGCCCAAGAGATGGAGCTGATGGGGTAGCCGGCCACAGGACACCTAACAGTGAAGGTCTCTCCTGCCACCGCTGACATGGGGCCCATTGGACGCACGTGGGGACGACCTGTGAGGGGAAGGACACCAGGTAGATGAGTGACCTGTTGAAGGGGGACCTGTTGAGTGGTGACCTGTTGAGTGGTGACCTGTGAGAGGGAGGGACACTGGGTAGATGAGTGACCTGTTGAAGGGGGACCTGTTGAGTGGTGACCTGTGAGAGGGAGGGACACTAGGTAGATGAGTGACCTGTTGAAGGGGGACCTGTTGAGTGGTGACCTGTTGAGTGGTGACCTGTGAGAGGGAGGGACACCAGGTAGATGAGTGACCTATTGGAGGGAGTGGTGACTGTTGTGAGAGGGAGGGACACCAGGTAGATGAGTGACCTGTTGAAGGGGGACCTGTTAAGGGGTTGACCTGTTGAAGGGGGACCTATTAAGTGACCTGTTGAAGGGGGACCTGTTGAGTGGTGACCTGTGAGAGGGAGGGACACCAGGTAGATGAGTGACCTGTTGAGTGGTGACCTGTGAGAGGGAGGGACACCAGGTAGATTAGTGACCTGTTGAAGGGGGACCTGTTAAGGGGTTGACCTGTTGAAGGGGGACCTATTAAGGGGTGACCTGTTGAAGGAGGACCTATTAAGGGGTTGACCTGTTGAAGGGGGACCTGTCAAGGGGTTGACCTGTTGAAGAGGGACCTGTTAAGGGGTTGACCTGTTGAAGGGGACATATTAAGGGGTGACCTGCTGAAGGGGGACCTATTAAAGGGTGACCTGTTGAGGGATGGCCTGTGGGGGAACATTAGGTAGATAAGTGAGAAAATAACATTGGGAGGTTACCAGGGTGACCTACATAAACACACCCATGACCCATTGACCTACATAACACCCATGACCTAGATTGTCTAACCTAAACACACCCATGACCCATTAACCTACATAACACCCATGACCTAGATTGTCTAACCTAAACACACCCATGACCCATTAATCTACATAACACCCATGACCTAGATTGTCTAGCCTAAACACACCCATGACATAATTGACCTACATAAAACCACCCATGACCTACATAACACCCATGACCCCTTGACCTACATAAACACCCCCCCTCACGATCTTTTAGGACGTACCGTAGACGTGGAGAGGGGCGGCGTGGACTACAGAGGCGGCGGTGTTGGTGGCAGTACAGGAGTAGCTGCCTCCGTCCTCCACTCTCACGCCGGAGATGTTAACGTGGCTGATGACCTGCCCATGCACATTGACGTACTGACCCATCACCAGGCTGTGTGAGGGAGGAGGAGTTAGTGCTGTGTTGATGTATGGACACACACACACACACACACACACACACACACACACACACACACACACATGCATGCATAAACAAACGCGACTATTTTTTTTTCCTAAATTTTACAAAAACAAAAACATTTCCCCCCCCCAAAACACATCGCCATTCGTGACCTTTCTGTTGTTACTTGATTATTTACAATTTTTATTTTTCCTTTTTATTTAACACACAATATTTTTTCACCACCTCAGGACACGACTTTTGGCTTTATGACGAAATTTTATGACGTGATTTTGTGATAAGATATAATTAAGACAATCATGAGAGAGAGAGAGAGAGAGAGAGAGAGAGAGAGAGAGAGAGAGAGAGAGAGAGAGAGAGAGAGAGCCTGTCGTGGATGGTATAGTGGTAGAGCCACATTCTATAATTTGTTCATCACCTGACTTGTGGTAACGCACATACGGTATACAATCCCACGTATACATAAACTCCACTCACGTACACCTCCACTTCCACGTACACCTCCACTACCACGCACACCTACACTACCACGTACACAAACAATGACAACCTTCCATAAACATTACTATATGGGGCGATAAATGACCAAATACTCCAGTCTCACTCGCTGTATCCTCTCCTATATTATTCCATATATACATTATATATCCCCGGAGTACCTCCTTTATATACGGTCGAGATGTATGGTATATATGGGTGGTCATTATTTATAGGATAATATACATTTTTTAATAAGATAGTAAACGAATGGTTATTTTTTTTATATCTTTACTACTGTCTTAGTCTGTCTGTCTGTCTGTCTGTCTGTCTGTCTGTCTGTCTGTCTGTCTGTCTTGTGTTTATTTCCTGGTTGATTTTTAGTTTCTGTTTCTATAATATTTTCAAAACAGTATTTCCAGTTTCCATTCTCATCCATGTCTGTACAGTAACTCCATAACTTATTTCCAGTTTCTAATATTTCCCAACTATTTTCACTCTCAATTGTGTCTGTACAGTATTTCTAGCGATTATTTCCAATATAACCAGTGATTTTCAGTCTCATTTCTCATCAGTGTTTACAAAGCATTTACAGGTCGATTTCTCATTACTGATAATATTTTGTAAGTTAATATTTGTCACTCTATTTACACAATGTATCCGGGTCGATATTTTCATCTGGTCTCGTATAATAATTCCGGGTTGCATTTCCATCATCGTTTACCCGATATTTTCAGGTTGTTCTCCCATCCCAGCTGTCAGAACATATGTGAACACACACACACACACACACACACACACACACACACACATTGTAATCAAGAAATGTAAATGAAGATGCATGTATATATATGGAACTCACACCATACATACATACATACATACATACATACACACATACATGAAGGAAAATGAGGATGATGATGATGATGATGATGGTGTGTGTGTGTGTGTGTGTGTGTGTGTGTGTGTGTGTGTGTGTGTGTGTGAATCACTGTGGAATGGGTCAAGTCCACCAATACCTCCCATCTCCCTCCCTGCCCGTGTGTGTAACGATGGAATATGCATGGATGTTGGTGGAATAGTGGTGTGTACTCTCCCCCTGTCCCTTCCTCTTCCCTCCTCTCTCCCCTTCCCTTCCCCCTCTCCCTCCCCCCCTTCCCCCTCCCTCCTCCAGGTATATCTGCAGCACCACCACCAGGAACCACCTCCTCCATTTATGAATTCACAGAACTTCGTCATAGGGCTTAGACAGCTAGACGGTAGCCTTAATAACGTGAAGGGGGTGTGTGTGTGTGTGGAGGGAAGGAGGCAGTAAGTAGGGGTGAGTGGAGGGAAGGGAAGGAGAGAGAGAGAGGTGGAGTGAGGAGAGGAGTATGTGGATGGAGGGTGGTGTGGAAGGAAGGGTGGTGGAGAGAGGGAAAGATGGTAGAAACAAAGGTGTGTAGAGAGAGGGAAAGAGGGGATGTGTGGAGGGTAGAGAGGGGTGGAGGGAAGGGAAGGGAGGGGTGGACGGAAGGGAAGGAAGGAAGGAGGGAGGGAAGGGAAGGAGGGAGGGAGGGAGGGAGGGAGGGAGGGAGGGTCGAGTAGTAATATCGCGGGCTCGGTTATTATGTGTGCGTTGTAACAAGTCATCTGTGAGGTTAATAATAGCGAGGCTTCTCTATTGTCCCGGGATGGTGGGATGTGTTAGCTGACATGTGCCTTATTAAAGGATGTGTGTGTGATCCCTCCTGCTGGCCTGATGCTGATGAACGCTGTGTCAACCTACACACACACACACACACATACACACATACACACACAGACAGGTAGGCAGGCATCAGGAGCACCGATATACATTGTGGTGAAGGGAAGGTAAAGCCGTGTGGTGGCCATTATCATGAGAGTACCATCAGGGTGTCAGGCGGGTATACCACTTTTAGGCTCCTGTCGAGGGTGAGGCAGGACACACACACACACACACACACACACACACACACACACACACACACACACAGAATACCGTCACTCTTTTATCATATATATTCTCATTTGTTTACATGTGGCTGTGTTTTGTGTACCTGTCTCTCTCATGCGTCCTTGTTTCTCTTGCGTCTCTCTGTCTCATGCATCCATGTCTCTCTCTCATACGCCCGTCTCTCTGTCTCTCTCTCTCTATATCACAGTATATTGCACGTTTATCAGGTGAGGTGAGAAGGGATAATTGTCTTTTAAGGGCCAGGTAATGACCAAATAAGACGAATCATGTATAATTTTAATCTCTCATAACCTGTCCATAACATATAGTGTATAATTTCTATATCTAATTATCTATATATAATGTAAAATATCTATCAATACATATTCTTTCTATTTCAGAAAAAAAAAATCGTACTCTTTAGAATGTTGACGACCATAATATGTACAGAATGATTGGCTCACCTTCTACTACGCATGCCCACTGACTCTGTTTCATCACCTGTTATTAGTGCAAATTACGTTACGATGGAAAATGCAATTGTCAGGGAACCTTTATTATGACCCAGATTTAATACGAGCTAACGGAACCGAAAAAAAAAAAATGTGTTTTTAGTTAATTAGCATCCAATTTTCCAAGCTTTGCGTTGTTGTGATTATCATGATTATTATTGTTATTTTTTTTTTCGTTTTGATAATTTTTTTGTTTTAGTTTTTCGGGATTATTATTATTATTATTATTATTATTATTATTATTATTATTATTATTATTATTATTATTATTATTATACTATCTCCAGAAACTATCCATCAACCCATTTACATAATTTGATAAGAACTTCCCCACTGTATTAATCTACATAATTTAAAATACTTTTTTCCTTCATCTCGACAGAATTATGGAACAAAATTATCGATACGGTTTAGTGAAAGGCAGAAGGCCCTCATAAGGCAGTCAGATCCCTTTAGTGGTTTATAAGACTCTCTCTCTCTCTCTCTCTCTCTCTCTCTCTCTCTCTCTCTCTCTCTCTCTCTCTCTCTCTCTCTCTCTCTCTCTCTCCCTTTCTTCATTTTTTGTGTCCTCCTCCCTCTTCTGCTCCTTTTCCTCCTTTTCCTTCCCTTCTCCTTTTCCCCCTCTATCCTCCTCTTCCTCCTCCTCCTCCTTTTCCCCCTCTATCCTCCTCTTCCTCCTCCTCCTCCTCCCCCCTTCTCCTATTCCTCCATCCTCCTACTTCCCCCTTCTTCCTCCTCCTCCACAAAGACTTCTGCCTCCAGTAATTAGGACCTTCCACCTCAGAGAGACTTCCTACAATAATTAGTTCGGCCGCTGTTCTCCTCCTTGTTGTCTTTTTTATATCTTGATTCTTTTCTTATTATCTTGGTGTTGAGTGGATGTCAGGAACCAGAGTTTGTCTACAGAGGTTAGTTATAGGTTGACGTTATTTGAATCAGGTGAAGATTAAGCACCCCAGCTTATTTCACCTGTTGATTGGACACCCTAACCAAACCTAACCTAACCTAACCTAACCTAACCAAACCAAACCAAACCTAACCTAACCTAAAAGCTCAAGTAGCGTTAGGATGCTTGATATATATGTAGTGACCTAACTTATAGAAACATAATTGTAATGTATTGATTCTAAATATATACGTCTTATGTTCACAGGATGAGATGCGGTACTGAGTGTGGTGTTACAGCTTCCATAGTCTGCATGTGAGTAAATTAACATATACTTTTACATCCAAAATAAAAGTAAAAAGTGTGTACAGTCATTCAAAAAACTATCTGTACTTGGGGTGATCGATGAATTTCAGAATGAGCACTGTTACTCCTGTTGTCTCGGTAGGGTTGTCAAAATCCTTCGTCCGTTGTGTCATATTTTTTCAACACAAATTTATAAAGATAGTTTTTGTGAGTGATTGTATATATTCGAACATTAAACCCTCAACACTCTTAATATAATCTACTTGAAGGTCAGATAGATAAGAAGGAATTGGAATCTAAAAATCATCGTATTTCTACAGATTATTCTTTGTGGTATAGGAAAAAATATGTTCTTTTATACGTGTTATTATTCTAACTTAATGACTGCTAGCTCACTCTCTATTAACCAATTACTTGTATGACCCCACAGAGATGCCAGGTTATGCCAAGTATTGAGGGCATTTTTTCCTCTAATTATGCACTTATGCTCAGTGGTGTTCATATGGTGTTATGTTTTTTTTTAATATTCCTGTATCTGTGTCTGTAATTACACCTTCACCTGTAGTGATCTGTACCGGTACCTGTATTGTATTATGGACGTCTACCTGTATTTACCTGTACCTACATTTGTATTTGTACCTGTACTTGCATCAATACCAGGAACTTCATCAATACCGGTACTTGCGTCATTACCCATACTTGCGTCACTACTTATACTTGTGTAACTAGCTATACTTGCGTCACTATCAATACTTGCATCACTGTCTTTACTTGCACCAATCCCAGTACTTGCGTCAATCCCAGTACCCACATCAACACCAGTA